GAGGCAAGAAAAAAATTTTGGCCTTCTTGGGAGGCACTGAGCTCCTCGTTTCTGGAAGGGGAAATAGAGGCGGAATGGCCACTTGGCTGCAGTTCTAGGAAGGATTTCTTTTGTGGTGGTGTGAGCCTCCAATGCCTCACACATTCCCAGAGGCAATGTTTGCTCTAACTTGTCTCGTGGGGCTCAGGGCCTTTTTGAGAGGAAAGATAGGGATGGTGGCTGTCTTGGCCAGGCTCTAGGACAGGTGGAAAGCCAGATGCCAGTGCCATGTGTCCAGATAAAGTATGTGACACCAATGTCAAGGTGGCGCTCCTAAAGGAAATTGGGTGTTGGGTTGCTGCCAGACTGCCTTCTTAGTGCAGAACTTTCCAGGCAAAAGTTCTTTTAACTATCATTCTCCTGCGGTCAGATCTCAGCCTGACCTGGAATCAGAGGACTGAGCATACAGCTTCTCCAAATCAGGATTTCCAAAAGAGCCGCAGCTATGTGGTGCAAATTTTGGCCTTCTTGGTTGACAGGGCCAGGGATGGACCCACCTGGACAGGCCTCTCCAGGAAGCTGGTTCCTCTCTCACCCCCTCTGACTTCCTCAGGCTTGAAGTACCAACTTGTCCCCCACAAGGGGGTGCTGGACATAATTCCTCGCAAGAAAACCTAGATTCCCTGGGGATTAACACAATGAATTGCTCAGAGCCTGGAGGGTGGGAGGCCACGTGGGGAGGCACGAAGCTTGGCCCTGAAATATTTCAAGTGCTCCGGGTCAGCTCTGTACTCTAAGGATTCTTAGTGGAATTGTTTTGGGAACAGATCTTGTAAATTCTTATTCTTCTGGCTTTAATATTCTCAGAGCAGAGTTTAGGGAGCAGGGAAGCAGATAGAGGGTGGGAGGGGGGAAGCCAGAGAGGTGGGCCTAGCAGGATTCTCAGTGCAGCTCTGACTGAGGGCACATGTTCAAGGCAGTAGAGAGGTGAGGTAAGGGAGGAGCCAGGATATGTAGGAAGTTTTGCTAAAAAAAAATAGTGTAGTTGAACATCAAAAGATTACTGTTAATCACAAAACCCAGACATCTCAAGTTAATGGATTTAGTGCTTTTCTGTGTATGGGAAGATGCAAGAGTCTAGGCTCGTTGAAATTAGTCCTTGGAGATGCATCCTAACTATCTAGGACCAGTATCCTGTTTTTCTCCATCCTGAATGCCCCTTAGGACTCACAGGTGGGGGTGGCTACGGCAGCTGATGGCTTGATGGCCGGCAGCATTTTCTTGTCCACAGCAAGATCGCAAACTACCACGTAGGCCTGAAGTGCCACAGGGGATACTGAAAGGAGAGATGGCACTTGGGAGGTGGCAGAAATGGGGGCAGTGTCACTTCCGGTGGGGACATGGAAGCTTCCGATCCATGACCGGCCTGTTTTGGATATCCTACAAAGTGGTCCAAGGTGTTTGTGTTGGGGTGAGGGGAGAGCACACTAGAGAGGTGGGTATCTTGGGGCCACGTGGGGCCAGCCCTGACCTGGGAGCCGAAGGAGCCGGCAAATGTATTCTATATAAATGTTTTTAATGAGTTTTGTTAACTGTAGGGTGGAGCTCATTTCTGTTTTCTTCACGGCTTAGTTCTTCAGACGCCACGCTGTGCAGAGATCCCTTCAGAAAGTATGGGTTGGTGTTTCAAGTATGACTGTTCCTCTGCAACCCTATCGCGGGCCACCCAAGGGGGGACTTGAGGGGGAGAGGATGTTATGGTTTCGAGTCAGTAAAGCAAATTGGGGATTGTTGTCAAATTGAACTTTGCGGGAATTCCCTGGCGGTCCAGTGGTTAGGACTCCGTGCTTTCACTGACACATGGGGGTTCCATCCCTGGTGGGGGAACTAAGATCCCCAAAGCCGCGCACTGCGGCCAAAAACAAAATAAAACAAACAAAACAATTGTACTTTGGGTGTACACTTTCCATGTCACTGGGTTTATACTACAGAGTATAAAACGATACAGTGGAAAATAATTATTAGAAGAATTAGGAACTATGAATTCTCTAATCCCATCACTGATCCAGTGGATTTGAAGCAAGTCATTTCCCAACTTTAGCTCTCACTTTTCTCAACTCAAATGAAAGGGCCTGACCGGCGCTCTTTCAGTTCGAGAATCATTTTCTGATTCACAGGGGGAAGACCGGAGGTGCTAGTTCCGGATGCCTCCGTAATGACCACGCCCCCTGACATGCCATTTCATTCCCATGGCAACAGCTCTGTTTGGGCTCCACTGGCCTCTAGCTCTTTAGCAGCTGCTGCAGGTCCGAGGTTTCAGGACTTTGTTCAGGGGCCACAGGACTGGCTAATTTCTGTCTTTCTCTTACAGTTTCTGAGTTTATGCTGAAAGTTCTCTCTCCATTTACGGTGAGGTGAGCTCACAGTAAATCCTGGTAGAGTGTAGAACTCAGCAAGAAAAAGAGGTACAGAGGTTTAGTTTATATGAAACACTGATATGCAAATAATATCAGCCAGGCATTTTGTCCCCCCTCAAATCTCATTTATGAATGGTTCGTGATTGAGTTATCACACAACTGCCCCAGAGGCTGCTAAGGTGCCATCCTAGGAGGCAAGACTTGAGCTACTAGATATACGTGTGACTCCTGAAAAGTCCCTTCCGGACCCGTTTCCTCATCCGTACAAGGAAGAGTTTAGAATACTGCTATGGGCTGAATCGTGTGCCCCCCTCCATCCCAAGTTCATGTGTCAAATTCCTAACCCCCAGTACCTCAGAATGTGACCTTACTTGGAAATAGGGTCATTGTAGTTGTAATTGGTTAAGATAAGGTCATACTGGAGTAGGTTGGGGGGTCCCTAATCCAATATGACTGGTGTCCTTATAAAAAGGAAAACTTTGGATACAGATACAGACACAGGGAGAACGCCACGTGAAGAGAAATACAGACATCAGGGGGATGCGCCTACAAAACAAGGCTCACCAAACATTGCCAGTAAACCACCAGAAGCTGGGGGAGAGGCACAGAACAGATTCGCCTTCATCACCCTCAGAAAGAACCACACTTGCTGCCACCTTGATCTCAGACTTCTATCCTCCAGAACTATGTGACAATAAATGTCTGTTGTTTAAGCCGCTCACTTTGTGGTATGTTGTTATGGCAGCCCTAGCAAGCTAATACAACTACATCAGTGGTTCCCCATCTTTTCACTACCAAGAATCCCTTTGCTCTTTGTCCTTTTGTGAACTCCATTTATTTAACAGATATTTATTGAGTACCTACTATATGCCAGGCTCTTCTCTAGTCATTGGAGATACACAAAGTCAAAAAGCAAAGATCCGTCCCTCTTGTGTTCATTCTATGTTTTAAAACATTTAGTTGGCCAAGTATAGTAGAGTTTATTTTAGTTTAGTAATAATTTGGGTATTTTCTCATGAGATAACCAGGATTACCTCATCAGTGTGATATAATTAGTGCCAAAAATCAAACGAAGGTGATGTTTTTAAGTAGCTGTTGATCCCTTATGGCAAGTAAATACATTCAATTCATTAGGTTTCTAAAAATATTAAAAATTGTCAGAACCCCCTTTACTACATTTATGGATCCCTAGGGGTTCAAGGGCCTCATCACAAGGTGATTAGCTAGAGCAGGGGTCCTCAAAATTTCCTGGTAAGGGCCAGATAGTAAATACTTTAGGCTTTGTGGCCCATACAGTCTCTGTCACAAACAACTACACAATGCTGCCATTGTAGCATGAAAGGAGCCATAGGCCATACAAAGAATGAGCATGGCTGAGTTCCAATAAAATTTTATTTATGGACACTGAAATCTGAATTTCATGTAGTTTTCTCGTGTGACAAAATGTTATTCTTCTTTTGATTTTTTTAAACCATTTGAAAACGGAAAGACCTTTCTTAACGCATGTGCTGTAGAAAAACAGGTGGCAGGCAGGCTGTAGATATTTGGCCGTCTGGCCACAGTTTGCTGACCCATGAGCTTAGATTCTAATTCTGCTCTAGTTCTGGCATTAGGTGGTTCTTATACCCCCAAGGGTCTAGGTGAGGACCGGTGAGGGATTACAAATTTAGTAATTTGAACTCAGACCCGGGCTTCCTGCTCTCCGGTCCGAGGCCCCTAACACCGCTCTAAGCTGCTGGTTTAGTCATGATTTCAGATGTGGTCTTTGTATCCATGTGGTGCAGAAAATAGATGTGCGGTCAGCGGCCCTTTCCAGGCGTTGACCATGTAAGGGCTGTCCTCTTATTAGCAGCCAGTGGCAACCTAATTCTGTCAAGCCTGACCCTAGGCTTACGCACCCTTTTCGTTTATATATCTCTCGGGTTGCGCAGCCCGGGAGGCCCATCTGTCCCTTACTATTTGAGTCCCTGTTGTCTCATTGGCAGCTTTCTGAGCAGCTGCAAAATGTTTTTAACTTTAAGTGGAAGCTGGGATCACCAGCGTCTGGCCTGGAACGGTCTCTCTCAGCAAGGGCTCTTTCAGCTCTGACATTCCCTAGCTTTACGGACTCGGTGAGTGTTAAACTAACTCCTCCCAGCTTGCCACGGCTGGACTTTCACTGGGGGCAATAATTAATGAGGCATTTACTCAAGGACTGGGGAATAATGTGCACTACTTTTTTGTGTTGTTGTCGTCGGAAACTGCTTGGTTGCCTAGCACCCCAGTCGTCTGCCTGGTCTTCCTTGCTCGCAGATCATCTGTTCCAGTCGCCTCGCAACCACAGCTCGGCGATAGGGGCCGGAACGGGGACGAGGAGTGCTCGCGCGCGCTCAGGGGGCGGCCGCAGCACCGCCCTCTCCGGAGGACCATGCTGCGAGGCAAGTCCCGGCTCAACGTGGAGTGGCTGGGGTACTCGCCCGGCCTGCTCCTGGAGCGCAGGCCTCTCTTGGCAGGGCGCACGCCCCGCAGCCCCTGCCGGTAAGTCACGTGAACGCTCGCGACCGCGCCTGCGCCCGGCGTCACAACGGCGCGCCGCGCCTGCGCGCTGCGGCCCAACGCCCGGCGCTCGCCGGCACTTCCGGCGCGGTCTGCTTCGACCGGTCTCCCGCGGAGCCGATTAAGCGCGGACGCCGAGCCCAGCTCGCTTCTGAGCGCCTGCTGCGGGCGTGGCGACGCCATGGAGCGTTTTGATAAAGCGGCTCTGAACGCGCTGCAGCCGTGCGACTTCAGGTAGTCCGGAGCAGGGGCGGGGTCGGGCGGGGGCCTCAAGCACGAGGCGGACCGTCCCTGGCTGGGAGCGGGGCAGGAGGGAAGGCCTGGGCCGACCGGGCTGACCTGCGGTGGGTGGGCGTGAGGTCTGGACCCTCGGGGCCGGAGCTGCGGGCTAGAGGAGAGAGGGGAAGTAGGTTGGGACCTGCAGTGTTTGCACGCCCGGCCCCTACCCTTCGCTCGGGAGCAAGGGGCCCGGGGTCTTGGGGGATAGGTAGGGAGGCTTTCAGCTCCTGTTTCTGGCCTAGCACCACTTCTCGCTGTTGTCTATATTGCGATCTTGCTGTCTGCAGTCTTTTTCCCCACTGCAGGGTGAGCTCCCTGAGGACAGGAACCTGGCCTTCTCCGTCTCCGTGTCCCCCACAGGGCCTGCATCGTCGGGGCTTAATAAATGTTTGCTGTACGCATGAACGAATGGAAGGGAGAAAGGGCTCTCCCTGATTTGAGCCTTCTTCACTTGGGGAGTCAGTCGGATGGGGGCTGGTGGCCGAGTAGAGGGAACCTGAGGAGAGAGTGGGTGGTTCTTGATATCTCACGAGGCAAGAGGATGGGGAGGGGTTTAGCCGCCATTCAGTGTGTGCCAGGCTCAGCTTAGGTGCTTTGTTGTACATACATTATCAGAATTAAGAAAGTGCTTAGTTTCCTGATTTTTAAAAATAATGAAGTTGACTCAGAATAAGTGACTTGCCCAAGATCACACGGTTAGGTCACACAATAGGTGTTGAAGCTGGCAGTTGTCCAAGCCCACTGACTCCAAAGCCCGTGATTTTTGGAGCCCCGTGATCTTTTTCACTCTCACAATGGCAATGTAGGTGTTTATTTTTTTTTATTACTGTTTAGTAGTGACGCTACCAACAGGTATTTTTATTAAGTACACTTAGAATACAGTATAGCCCTCCTAGACAGATTCTAGTGTTTCCTAATGGAATTTGCAGTGAAATCTACTTGCAGTGGAAGTCTTGCTTGCCATAAAAGGGAACATGGTAAGCTCTATCTGCTTAGTGTTTGCTGCAGAAGTTTATATGAAGTGGGTAAACTCTAGATGGTTTTAAGAGTGGGGACACAGTAAGGTTCATCCTGAATTATTTGTTTTGTGTGAGGCCAGTTCTAATTCTGAATGTTCTCATTCATTTCTAACAAGTCTCAGTAACACCCGATCAGAGACACATAGGAGAAATCAGTTGAATGACATCAGTAGCTTTGTTTTAGAATAAATCACCTGTTATACCCAAGCTGGCAAGGAGAAAATGTCCTATAAACACTAGAGGAAGTTTGAAAAACTAGTTCTCAGAAGTTTGTACGCTTAACTTTGTACTTAGTCCTATATTTGTGAGACTGAAAGTCAAATTTTTGGAGCTTAAGGTAAAGAGAGAGGTGAGAAGGAGTTGGAGATAAGCTACAAATTGTTAAGATATGCTATGTGTAGAGTGCGTGGGGCTAGAAATTAACATGCAGAAAAGATTCTGTTTGTGTGGTGGGATCATAAGTGATTTTGTGTGCTTTAAAACATTTTTATGGTATTATATCATCTTTTCAATAGTAAACTTTTCTCAAAGCCAGGCCAGATAATAGATATTCAAGAGATGATCTAAAGAACAGGAGAACCGGTTAACCTTCCCTTTCTCTAGATTCTCAAGCTTTGTTTCTTTATCAGGTTAGATAATCTGAATTTTGCACACCAAAAACACATACTTTATTTTATTTATTTATTTATTTTTCACACACACACACACACACACACACACACACACACACACTGTATTTTATTTTTACAAGAGATAAATAAACTAACACCAAGCATTATAAATGGGTGACCACAACAAAAGCAACAATGATTGCAATTACCAAACACGAAACACACTCACACTATGTCATAATATTGACATTCAGTCCAGGAATCCTCCACTGTAACAGCTCCTTTACTTTGCAGTGAAAATTGATTTGTATATTTTTTGCCTCTGAGTCCTTGTGGGATTTTTTTTTTATTCAAACAGAAAGTCACAAAAATTATAATCATCCTCATCAGTTCACTCAGTCCCATATAATTAATTTTTTTTCATCTTGATCTTTTGTTGGCACTTTTATGAATTCATCAGTTTTCCATTAGAGTTCTGAAAATGCTTATTCATTCAGTTCAGCAGTATAGTCAGTTACCAGAAACCTGTACTTGTCAGTCTTTTCCATGAATTCCTTGAAGATGAAACCCTTTTATAGGAACATTTTTGCAAAAGCATCAGAGTACACCCAGAACTGTCTGTAATGACAAAAGACTTAAAAATGACCACGGTTAAAGATTTGATGAAAGTTCATAATAATGCAATTGACAAGGAAATTTAGTTACCTTTGAGATACACATTTTAAAGTAATAACTAGAATTATGACTTATAACATTATACCAGAACATACAAGATTTTTAGAAATTTCATGTAATGTCGGAAACATTTATATTAACATATTTCTGTACAAATAACCCAAAGAAAGTTTAGTACTGTTTGTTTTTTTTTTATATACTGCAGGTTCTTATTAGTCATCAGTTTTATACACATCAGTGTATATATGTCAATCCCAATTGCCCAATTCAGCACACCACCATCCGCACACCACCATCCCCACCCCACCGTGGTTTTCCCCCCTTGGCATCCATACGAAAAACACATACTTTAACTCCCCAAAGAAACACCATGAAGGTCAAGTTTTTTGTTGGGGTCCACAAAAGAATTGGCCAAATACCGACTTTATGTATGTATGTATGTATTAATTTTTTATACAATTTTTAAAGGGTTACACTCCATACATAGTTATTACAAAATATTGGCTACATTCCCCGTGTTGTACAATACATCCTTGTAGCCTGTCTACACAATAGTTTGTACCTCCCACTCCCCTTCCCCTGTATTGCACCTCCCACCCTCCCCACTGGTAACCACTAGTTTGTTTTGTATATCTGTGAATCTGCTGCTTTTTTTCACTAGTTATTTTCACTAGTGTGTTGTAGTGTTTAGATTCCATGTGTAAGTGATATCATACAGTCTCTGACTTATTTCACTTAGCATAATGCCTTCCAAGTCCATCCATGTTGCTGCAAGTGGCAAAATTTTGTTCTTTATGGCTGAGTAGTGTTCCATTATATGTATGTATTAATATGTTTGTGTCTGTGTGTATACATATATATATCGTATCTCCTTTGTCCATTCATCTGTTGATGGATACTTAGGTTGCTTCTGTATCTTGGTAATTGTAAATAATGCTGCTGCGAACATTGGGGTGCAAGTATCTTTTCAAATTAGTGTTTTTGTTTTCTTTGGATGTGACTTTTTGTATTTTTTATATAGAACTCCTGCAGACACTCATATTATTCATAAAGATTATGCAATAAATTTTTCTAAAATTTTTCTGTTAGGAAACAGTGTAAGGGAGCTTATGTATGTTAGATGAGAATGTATAGCTGAGTGATCACCGAAGTGGTATGTATTAAAAGATGATTCACTGAAGTATGGAAAGAAAATAGTAGAATTTCTACATAAATTAAAAATTTTTTAACCTTATCCCTTTTAGTGTCTGTTTTTGCATGTGTTTTACATTTTAAATAATGCATGAGTAATATGTGTATAGATAATTTATTTTAAAAACCATTATGCCTGTATGGGGGTATGTGCTCAAAACTTTTATTTAACGATGGATTGCACAGTCAAAAGAGTTTGTATACCACTGGTATAAACGTGAAATGTTCCCTTCCTTTGTGGCCTGCCAGAAGCCTCTCCTGTAGTGGTATACACAATTATAAGAACTCCTTTGCCTGGATTGTCTAGGGGTACAGACGAATGTGCAGGACTGCCTAGGACACAAGCTGTCATGTTAAGTGCTGTAACAACAGGCATGAACTAAGTGTGGTTGGATCCCAGAGCGATGAACCGTTCCAGCTGGCATTATCAGGAAAGGTGCCTAGAAGAGAGGTTATCCTGGGGGGACCTTGAAGGCTGGGCTGTATTCTTCCTAGAGATATAGATAAAAACTGGGACCTCTTGCTGAGTATTACCAGAAAGAATTAAGTTCACGTGTTGACTCTGAACATAAAGTTGGACGTGTGTTCAGGTTGTAGGGGAGCGACACTTGCCACCCCGAAATGTCTCTTTGCTATGCAGATTATTTCACACTGAAAACAGTCAAGGCCCAAAAGACTCAGGAAGAAACTTTGACCTTCCCCTTAATTGCCTAAAAAAATTTAGATAGAGGGCCTGTTCCTGGAAGAGAGCTATCACCAGAGATACCTGCAAAGAGTATGGGCCAGGTGTGGGGAAATGGGGCATAGAGACCGGTGTCCACTTTGTGTCCCATAGACTCTGCATGGCCCAGCAAGCACTTGTTTACCAAACATTTGCTTTGCCATCTTCATGTGAATTGCCGCCTTCCCCTTTGAAGTCCCCAACCCCTACCCGCAACATCCTCTTGTCTTTAGCTGAAGATGGTATTTAAGGCAAGGGTTTCGGCCATTTTGGCGAGTTACTCAGTTCTCCTGGGTCTCTTCCACGTATACATGTTACTCAACTTTGTTTGATATTTCTCCTGTTAATATGTCTCATGTCAATTTAATTCTTAGAACAGCCGGAAGAACCCAGGAGGGTAGAGGAAAATTTCTTCCTCTCTGACAAGGTAGTGTGAGGATGGTTAGATTTAAGGAAAAAAAGACTTTATCTAAAGGTTAAAAGCTGTAGGGCCTACTGCTTTTAAACGTAACGTATGAGGTGGTATGTATGAGGTATGTGTGTGCCCAGGGTTGCTGGAAGCTTACTACGCTTCACTGTCAGTAGTTGCTCATTTGTGACAGTGCATTAGGACAAATGCTGACGTATATCTACTTACCAGTAAAACAACTTAAGGAATATTTGAAAGTGGGGAAATAACTTTATTATTGTGTATTAATCTGGAGTCCTTTTTCATGTGCACACATTTTTAACATAATTGTAATAGTATACGTCAGGGGTTGGCGAAGTTTTTCTGGAAAGGGCCAGATAGTAAATATTTTAGGTTTTGAGGGCCACGTGGTCTGGCGCCACCGCTAAGCTCTGCCTCTTAGCTCCATGAAGTCTTAGGTGACGCACAGACAAGCGGGTGTGGCTATAATCTTTACATTGCTAATGTTTTAAGTAACAGTTTATCTGACTTGTTTTTCTTTAAGCATATAATTTTAAAAGCTTAATTGCATTCTTCAGAATCATTTTATTGTATTGTGGAACAAAACTTCCCATTGCAATATTTCCATTGATTTTAAAATAGTCTGGAAGAATAGAATTCACTGAACAAAAAGTGTCTCGATATCAAACTTTTAATGCATCCATGTGTGAAGGCCGTCTAAGTTGTACTCTAGCTACTTAATTACAAAGAAATTTGAGTACGTTTCCTTCAGCTGCATTCAGATTGTTCTAGGCTCCTGTTTCTTTGGAGATTCTCAAACCTTGTCTGTACTGTATTCAGCTAGCCACTGATAGGATGCTTTGTGAAGGGACGTTCATTAGTTGTTTTCGGTGTATCTTCTCCCTTGCTGCCTCCATTGTGAATTCTGTAAATCGTGTACATTTGCATAGCACTTGGGAGATTACAAACCACTTTTTTGTACTTTATACTTCCTTTCACACTGGATCTGCTGCTGGATTTCTAGGATCTTCTGGCACTGCCCCTTCTTCCTCTCGCCACTGGCACTGCCCCTTCTTCCTCTCGCCACTGCTTTCAAGGCAGGAGCAGTGTTCCCAGCATCTTTTCTGTGGGTATTTATAGCATTTATGGACACAAGAATAGTTGGAAATGGCTGTGCAGGCTCTGATTTTCTCTTTGTTTACTTTATTCCAGAAATGAAAGTTCACTAGCATCCACTCTGAAGACGCTCCTGTTCTTCACAGCTTTAATGATCACTGTACCTATTGGGTTATATTTCACGACTAAATCTTATGTTTTTGAAGGTAATCCTAGACCATAAAACAAGACATTTTCCCCCTTAACTATATTTGAGATTCTGTGCTTTTATGACTTCTTTATATCTTTAAACTGGGTATTCTTAATTTTGCTTCTTCTGTTTTGCTTTTCAAAAATCACGTTGCATGAAATGAACTTTTTCATCACTTGGTTATTTCAGTTTGACATCATACTTGCTTATGGTTTTCTGTGGAATAGCTTGCAGATCCTTTCTTTTAACAGCCCTTTGAGAGCAAGAGTTGCCAGACATGGGAGGAGGAATTTGGGGGAATGTACCTTTGGTGGAAGACATTGGAAGGAAGAGAAAATAAAGCTCCCTTTTTTAATGTCGGGGTCCTTAGATGAAGTGATCAGTTGTGGTTTTCATTCAACATAATGTTCTTCTTGTGTAGAATGTATTCAGATCTTTAAGTGAATACTTGATTTATCACCATGCAAATCATTCCTTTTTAATTGTCTGACTAGTTAAATATATAGCTACTAAAAATTAGTATGCTTTGTTTTTTGCATTTTGATACATTTTGGAATAAAATGGAAACTTTTTTTCTCTCGATAGGCGCCTTTGGGATGTCCAATAGGGACAGCTATTTTTATGCTGCTATTGTTGCAGTGGTCGCTGTCCACGTGGTGCTCGCCCTCTTTGTTTACGTGGCCTGGAATGAAGGCTCAAGGCAGTGGCGTGAAGGCAAACAGGATTAAAGTGAACATCACCTTTTGATAGCATTAAATTGATTTTTTTTAAATGGTAAATGTGTCTGGAGTAAATGATTTTATGGTAAGTGGTAAATGATTTTAATAAATTGAAAGAACATCAATCTTATGGAATCACGTTTGACCAGTGTAAATTTTGATCCTTCTAAAACAGTGGTTTGTATCATCAGTTTTAACTGTATGAGCCTCTCATTTGCAAATGAGAATTTGGAAAAGTTAAATTGGTTACAAATAAGTATGTGAAATTAGTTACACATTATTCTGGGAGGAATTTGATTATCTTACAACAAAACAATATTTTATAGCGTTTCGTCTTTTGGTTGGCTTTGAGTTTTACTCCTCTGGATATATTCAGATGTACATAGTGGAGCAAATCTAAACTTTATTTTTCGCTGGAACACTTTTCCTAACTATCATGAAAATACCACGTCATTGGGTTTTGGGTTGTAAATGCGTATTGGAAATTGCTTAAATGGTGGACACTGGAATTAATCTGAATGTCACTGAGAAATTTTGCATAAAGTGTAATCCCTCGTCAATAGAAATCTTTCATTACATTATTTCATGGGGAAACTAGGTTGAATCACACCCATTCATGTAAAAGGACTGGGTTTATTGAAGAACGCAGACAGCAAAGCAGAGAGAGCTACCTGCCTAGGCACCCAGCCTACTCCCTAAAGGCCCCTTTCAGGCCAGCCTCCTGCTTTCAGACAAACTCTGTAACGATCTGCTTTGCTCTGGTCATTCAACAATGAACTTACTCTTTAATTACAAGGTTGTGTGAACTCCCTTTAAATTTGTTTTTCCTACTTTTTAATAATGTATATGAGTGAATTTACATTTAAATGTGTTCATTTTTGCATACTTAGGGAGTGTAAACAATCCTGAAAATAGGTTATTTTTATCATCCAGGAAGTATTCTTGGAATTTCTACTCTAGTCTTTTAAATCAGTGCCGTTATATCCCAGATACATCAATAGATAATGTATCTAAGTTAGATAGTCCTTGAGGTCCTTTCTGGTAGAAAAAGACCCTGTGGTTTTACTTTCGTTTCCTTGCTCTGTGTTCTTTCTAGCCACGTGGTACTACTTGTGTGCAATCTAAAAACACACCCCAAAAAAGTGCAGGAAGAAAATTTAAATTCCCTGTGATGTTGCCACCTGGAGATAACCACTATTTTGGTTTACATCCTGTGCGCATTTCTTAATGCTAGTTTGTTACACACTAAAACTTTGGTTTAAGTTCAAATTCTGCCCATTTTACCTGGCGGCTATTTGCATTTTTTCAGATGAGTGATTATTGGCCGTTTTCTTAAAAAGCACATTCTACCTTTACTTTTTTTTTTAAAAGTAATAGCTTTCATTTATTGAGTCTTTTTTTTAACATCTTTATTGGAGTATAATTGCTTTACAATGGTGTGTTAGTTTCTGCTTTATAACAAAGTGAATCAGCTATACATATGTTCCCATATCTCCTGCCTCTTGTGTCTCCCTCCCTCCCTCCCTCCCTATCCCACCCCTCTAGGTGGTCACAAAGCTCCGAGCAGATCTCCCTGTGCTATGCGGCTGCTTCCCACTAGCTATCTGTTTTACGTTTGGTAGTGTATATATGTCCATGCCACTCTCTCACTTTGTCCCAGCTTACCCTTCCCCCTCCCCGTATCCTCAAGTCCATTCTCTAGTAGGTTATTCTTTTAACTAGATATTTCATTGTACAAATTTCCTGTCATTGATAATCCCTAATACAATGGCCCTTGCTGTGAGTGTTTGCCATTACTGATTTTGTTTGTTCACCCCTACTTTTGATGTTGTGGAACTGGACTAAAGGAGTAGAGAGGTAGTTAGGCATAAAAGCAAAGAAGGCATTTGTGTTTATTTAATTGTTGAGAAGAAATAAAAGATTATTGTAGGACTCTTTTTTAGTCTTGCTTATAGTTAAATGTTATCTACAGTTTAAATGTCTTAAGTAGTTATTCTAAATGTAAAATGTTTTCTTAAAAAGACTACAGTTTTGGTATAAAATTCTACAAATTTAATATGGAATTGTAGGATACTCCAGATTGAGTCTAGTGTACTGTATGGTAGATTTCTAGATGGTCCCCTCTTTAGATGCCTTGTTGTACTAAAATTTGTCCACCTAATTTCTTTTTCTATAATGTCAAGGTTTTCCTTGTACTTTTGGGATCTTATGCTATTTGTAAAACGTTAATGTCCTGTGTTGGATTGTTTTGCTTGATTTCAGACATTTGCTGAGTAGATAACATGGGTGTGTTTCTGCAAGTATTTAAACCGGGGATTCATGCAAAAGCAGATGTAATTTCCTCTTGGAAAAGGTACCCAGCATTTGAAAGTTAGAATCGGATGCTAAGGTTGATGTTTGGGGTTATTACAATATAGACTTGTTTTCACACCAGTTAATATTTTCTTAGGGTTTTAACTGTTAAGTGAGTAGTTTGCTGCTGTTGAAATAACATGGTATTTGACAAGTAGATTTATTTTTCAAGATGTCTCAGTGATTTCCTCTTGTACAATGTATATACTTCCGGATGTATAGAAAGGAAAGCTACAATTGAGCCCTTATATAAATGTTATAAGGTAGGAATATGTTCACTATTGTTTGAAAACTGATTGTAAGAATAACCTCAATTAGGGAGTGTAACTTGAAGTGTCAGTACAGGCTACTGATTTAACACATGACCTTATTCACCTCACCTCCCATGTTGCCCCCCAGAATATAATCTTTATTCTCATTGTGCTAAAAAATGAAGTCTGCTGTAGAATGCATCTGATGTCATTAGCTCTTCAAGTGGATACCATTTTACATATGACAGCAGAATTCGGTTTTGAATTGCTGAAGAAATTTAAACCCTCCATAAAAAAGAAAAAAAAAACAACCTGCGTTTCATGGGAATATAACAGAAATATACTGTAAGATTATTTTCATCATAAAGGTCTCATCAGCTTTGCCCAAAAAGCAACTGCTTGACTTGTTTGGTGTTTATTTTCTGTTTTCGTATAAATTTTATATATACAGCTAGAGTACCCAAGGAGACCAGTAAAAACAGTTAAACAGATAGGGTGTACCCAAGGAAAGATGAAAGCTGAAGGTACGTGAGACAAAGAATTTATATCCTGTTTTAAATGCATCTAGCGTATATTTCTTGTCTCCAGACAAGTTCATGTTTATTGTTTTATTTATGCTCAAGTGAAGTTGTACATTGTTGGTAGGCCATTTTATAAATGGTTTGCCTATGGTACAAGTTGCTTCACGCAGCCTCTGCTCTTCCATTTAAGATAGCGTTTGCAAGAGCTGGCCTGAAGCAGCACGCTCAACAACTTGACAAGATTTCTTTTTCCTTTTTGTAGGGGGAAGGGTCACCTGAGAAAATAAATTATTTTCAGGGACTTTGGGAACCTAACGATAAATATTACGTGTAACCTGTGAACAGATTAAGCCTTTATATATCATTAAAGTACTCTGGAATTCCTCAACCTAACATCACTCCTGGCCACACTTTCCTTGCCTGTTTTGTTGCTACGTGTGCTTGAAAGTAATATCTGCGTTCCTTTGAAGATGTTCTGTAGGTCATATTTGTCAGTTACAGACTAGTCTTCCTTTTTCTCAAGTTCAGTGAAATCTCACTGAACAGTAATAATAGCAATAGCTAACATCTGCACAGCACCTTACAGTTTGCAGAAAACGTTCACATTTTCTCGTTTTTTTTGCATAGTGAACCTGTTATGAGATTTCTCTTGACCTTGATGCTAAAAGTGTTAGAATCTTTGAAGTCGCTAGAGTCACTGAATATGCTGTAGTCTTGAATAGCGCCCTGACAAGGGGCAGATTTTAGATGCGCTACCTTGAAAGCTGCGTGTGATTATCCAAATGGGGGGCTTGAGTTCTTTACCCACTTGAATCAGATTTACTTTTGTGAGTGATGTTTTTCTAACTTATCTGGATGGATTTTGTATTCATTATATTCTAACCTGTAACTTGTATAAATTTACCATCTGTTGTCATTAAAAAAGTGTTCGTAATTACACTTAGATGTCTCCTGATTAAATTAATAGTTAAGTTTATTAACCTCTTCATTTTTTTTTACATTTGTTTGCCTCTCTGTTTATACTGTATAGAATATGAATAGAGCTGTCAAGGGTAAGCTTTTATGCAGTAAATGTAGGCCAGAGATGCTCAAATGGGTGGGGGCTGTGAGGGATGCTGAGACTGGAAGGGCTGTGCTGGGCCTGTCAGAATTGGTGTAGGTAGCAGTGGGGAAAAGAAAGCAGCTCCTTGCCTTGTGCCTTAAAAAAAAATCATTTGGGGGCGAATGGGCTTCAAATACCACTGAAGGAGTGACGGTGGGGAATACCTGTGGCTAATTAAAGACTGGGATAGTCAGTTCCTGGCAATGTCCAGCACACCACTCCCTCATGCCAGTGTCCTGTTTCCTCTGTCCTCTAGGCCACTTGTGGATTGTACAGTTGACCCTTGAACAACACGGGTTTGAACTGCATGGGTCCACTTATTCGCGGCTTTTCTCAGTAGTGAATACTACAGTGCTACACAATCCGGTCAGTTGAAGCTGCAGATGGGGAACCGCAGATGGGGAGTGTGGAGTTAGAGGATTTCCCACTGTGGGGAGGGTCGGTGTTCAAGGGTCAGCTGTACTCATTCCAGCTCCCTGCTGCACTTTGGAGGGTTCCAGCTAGTTCTCATTAATAAATATCCACTCCAAAAAAAGATGTGAGACATCTTAGTATCAAAATGTACAGGTTACGTACAATTGTATTTATATACAAAAGTACAGATTGTAAAATGTCCAGGCAACTCAGGAGACAGGTAATGACAATGCAGAAACCACTGGAGTCACCTTGTGGGATTTAGTGCCCAGACCTAACCCAAACCTGAGTCAGAACCCCGGGGCGGTGGGGCCTGGAAATACATATTTATAACAGGTTGTGCTCTGATGCAGCCGGTTTGAGAACCACTGCTAGAGATGGAGAATTATACATGGATATTTTTAATGCTGGACTTGAAGATGTTTGTATAAAGCAGGCCTGAAATGGCAGGCACTTTATTAGGCAAAGGTAGAATCCTGTGTAATGCTATATTGAAGGTTTAGTTTAAAATCAGAATTTACGGGCTCCTTGACCATCCACATTGACTTTGCTTCACTATTAATGAATTATGTTAACTGAAAACTGTAGTACAGGAAACAGCCCACTTGGAGACAGCTTAGGTGTGCCAAGAAATGGCCACTGCTGCTCCTCTGATGCCTTCACCTTATTTGGAATCCTCACCGCTGTGGTCTTCGGAGAGAGGCGAAACCTAACCCAGGAGTTCAAGTGAATTTGGTCTGAACAGTAAAGGAAGTAGTGGAGAAAACCAGAAGGGTTTCCTAGGCATATCTACTCCATTAATAGTATGACTCCCCTGCCCCCGAATATTTTTCCTCGCATTGCTGCCATCTTTCCACTTCATTTCACGCACACCCCGCTGTTTTGCCCATTAAAGATGCGTTTAGGTTAATCCTCGTAGAAAATACAGGACTTGGGTGGAGAGCAGCTCACATCCTGGCGACTCACTTGATAGCGTCCCTTCAAAGGAGCATCGGGCTACCCTGAGGGAATGCATGCTAGAGATGAAAGTCCCTGTATCTTTCTGCTTCTCACCATCTTCCCTGCTACCGCCTGGGTCTGGACCAGCTTCACTCCTCCAACTGTAGTCATTTCGCCACAAAGCAGCTAGAAGGTTTCTTCCTTTAAAAATCTTCGATCGAGGGCTTCCCTGATGGCGCACTGGTTGAGAGTCCGCCTGCCGATGCAAGGGACACGGGTTCGTGCCCCGGTCCGGGAAGATCCCACATGCCGCCGAGCGGCTGGGCCCGTGAGCCATGGCCGCTGAGCCTGCGCGTCCGGAGCCTGTGCTCCGCAGAGGGAGAGGCCACAACAGTGAGAGGCCCGCGTACCGCAAAATCTTCGATCGATCGGGCATGCCATACCTCTGCTCAAAATCCTCCAAATAGCTCCCAGTCTCCCTCAGAGTGATATCCCGGCTCCATGCACAGCCTACAAGCCAGGCCTCCTCCCTTTGTTTCATTCGCTCCCCCTTGCTCAGCATTGGGCAGCCTGCTTTCCCTTCCGCAGATCTCCCATGACCACTCCCACCGCACAGCTTTGCATCGGCTCTTCCCTATCCCTTAGATCTTCCCTCTCCCCTGGCTCCTTCTCAGCCTTCAGGTCTCAACTCTCAAGTCACCTCCCCAGAGAGGCCTCCTAATCGAAAGTCGCAAGTCCCACATCACTCTCACAGAACATTGATTGAAATGATCTTATTTGTTTATTATCTGCCTCCCTCCATGAAAGCATAAGCTCAGGAGAGTAGGCATTGTCTTATTCACCACTGAATCCCCAGGGCCTAGCACTGGTTTTAATAAGGATGTTCTTGGTTAACTGCAAGTAACAGAAAATGCTGTTCAAACGATGCAAAAGGCCAGAGATGGGACTAAGCCATTGGCACAGTTAATTAGGGTGCCTGCTCCATTTCTCTGCGATTCTTTCTGCATGTCCTTCTCAGTGTGTTGGTAACATCCTCAGGCTTCCTTCCCTCATGAGGACAAAATGACTGCGGCCATTCCTGGGCTTCATCAGCACACCACAGACAGTCATCCAACCACCGAACAGCCCCCCTGGGCTTTTTACTCCGGAGTAACTCAGTTTATGTGCCCACCAGTGAAACAATCACTTTGGCCACGCAGTGCCAAGCATTGGTGGGTTTATGCCTGGACAAGTGCCCAGTCCCAAACCAATCACTTGGGGGTTATACTGGTTAACTCAGGCCACTCAATGCCCACCCCTGGAGGAGGGGTTAGATGCTGGTGAGGCTCCCAGCAATGTTTGCTGCAGGGCTCAACTGATTTGTTAACTGGATGAGGCAACGTGCAGTGTATACACGTATATGTACAATAGATTCGGATATGGCTGCGGGCGTGGATATGGACATACACGTAGATATGGAATGGAGGTGTGAGAGGCATGCATTTGGGGGTCAGGACAGGGCAGGGCCTGGGGCGGGACCATCTTCCAGAGGACTTTACAGCTGCATGAGGGCTTGGCCCTAGTAGGTGGCAAGATACCAATACAGTCCCTCTACGAAATTTGGTCAGCTCTGCCTCGGGAAGAAGGCTGAAACAGTTGGAGGGTCATCAAATTCTTTCTCCCATCGGCATCTGTGGCTCTCTGTTCCCAGGGTGTGCACTCTGCTCTGAAGCCCTAAAACACACTCTCTTTCTCAATCGCTCCCCACTCCCACCCTTCAGCACTGCATCTGTGTTTCAGCTGGGGTCCCGCTGAAGACATGTCCCAAAGACAACAGTGGCAAGAGGCGGCCAGACATCCCGGTCCAGGAATACTCTCCAGTGCTCTACTATGTGATTCTGCAATTATCGGTAACATCATCAAGTTCAGCTCTGGCCTGTTAACATGCACAAAAGCAGAAAGAATGAGAGTAGAAACAGAATCTGATTTTCTCAGCTATGTGCAAACTATACAAATATGTATTTTAAAGAAAAACGTATGTGGCATAGCCAGACTTTGTTATTTTAAAAAGACTCACAATAGAAAATGTTTTGGGACTGTGAAAAATGAAGTCTGTTCACATTTCTATATTCCATTTCTTTCCGAAAAAAAATTGGATGTAGGACAGATTGAGAGCGCCGTGCCTTTTTTCCTAGTATTTCTGCTGCTCTTAGCTAGAGACACAGTTCTCATCCTCCACTCTTTGCTCACTCTTCCCTCCCAGCCCACCTTGAACCAACTAGAATTTAAGATTAATAAGCTGAGTGATCAAGAAAATAAATTTTAACAAAAAAGGTGAGTGGGAAAGGAATAGAAAGCTCGGTAAAATGGAACGAGCAAAGAGAAGTTAAATGAGTTCTTCTGACTGACTTGGCAAAAAGGACTGGTGGGTAAGGCCCCCTGTGGAAGGCAGAATTGTAAGATACCCCCAAGAGCCCCATTCCCTATATACATGCTTGTACAGTCCCTTCCCCTTGAATATGGATGAAACCTGTGAATATGTTGGGAGAGTAGCTCCCTTGACTTGGTTACTGTATTAGTTTGCTCACGCTACCATAACCAGGCACCACAGACTGTGCAGCTTAAACAATTGGAAATGTATCTTTTCACAGTTCTGGAAGCTAGAAGGCAGAGATCCAGGTGTTAAGAGGGTTGGTTCCTTCTGAGATCTCTCTCCTTGACTTATAGATGGCTGTCTTCACATGGTCTTCCCTCGGTGGGTGTCTGTGTCCCTGTCTCTTCTTACAAGGACACCAACCATATTGGGTTAGAGCCTGTCCTATTGACCTCATTTTAACTCAATTATCTCTTTAAAAACCCTATCTCCAAACACAGTCACATTCTGAGGTACTGGGGGTTCAGACTTCAACATTTGAATTTTGGGGGAACACATTTCAGCCCGTAACAATTATGCTGTACATGTGGTGGGCAGAATAATGACTCCCCCGAAATGTTCACGTGTTAATCCCTGGAACCTGTGAGTATGTTACCAGACCTGGCAATGGGGGGTTGAAGGTGAAGATGAAACGAAGGTTGCTATTTAGCTGACCTTAAGAGGGGGAGAGTATCGTGGATTACCTGGGTGGGCCCAGTGTTATCACACAGGCACCCCAAAGATATATTCACTTACTAATTCCTAGAATCTGTGAATGGCAAAAGAGTGGATCTTACCTTGTATGGGGAAAGATGTGATTAAATTTAGGATCTTGAGAGGGGGGAGTTTATCTGGATTATCCTGGTGGGATAACCTTTGCTAATCCCTGATAACCTAAATGCAGTCTCATGTATCCTTATAAGAGGGAGGCAGAGGGAGTTTGAAACAGACCCACCCAGGGGAGAAAGCCATGTGAAGACAGAGGCAGAGACTGGAGTGATGTGGCCACAAGCCAAGGAAGCCTGCAGCCACCAGAAGCTGGAAGAGGCTTCTCAAAACACCAACCGCCCAGCGGCGAGTTTAAGAGAGTTC